TTGTAGTTGTGACATTACTAATAGCTTGATAAATGAGTAATTAGATCTCTCTAGGAAAGGAWCTATGGAAATAGTGATAGATTTGTTACAATAACACATTTTTAAAAAGGCATTTACTCATTTTCTAACTTCAGTGCTCTTGCTTTCTCTTCATTTTTGTTCTTATTAAAGAACTAAAAATAATTTATAAATGACATGGTACATTTTGATAGATGCATAGGACTTAATTACAGAATAATTAGAGAAAGTTACTTAATGAACTTAACACTAACAAGGGCATGTATGATGATCAAAGTAAAGARAAAATTGTTTAAAATATCCAAAATTAGGTTTAAAAAATGAACAAGTTGGGTGGGCTGGGGTTGTAGCATAATGGTAGAGCATTTGCCTAGCGTGTGTGAGGCACTGGGTTTGATTCTTAGCACCACATATAAACAAATAAAAATAAAGTTCCATTGACAGTTCTTGGTGCAGGGAATACAGTGGTGAATGATACTTAGATTCTGATATAAGACAAGTAAACAGATAGTCATGTTATTGAGTTGCTAAGAGACAATAGGAAGATAAATAGGGCAGGACAGAGAGGTAGATAATGATGATAGAGAATGATTATTTTAGATGCTGAGATCCATTGGAGCAGACARTTAAAGGACCCATACAAATGAGTATTTGGGGGAAATATATTCTTCACAAAATAATGAGCTTGATTTGAGAATGTGCTTTGTGTGTTTGTGAAGTAGAAAGAATGCCAATGTGTCTAGACACTGAAAAAGTTATCAGGACTTTTGTGGAAGGAAATAGGCTCATTCTATTCAAACACTATTTCAGGAGCTAATTGTTTTTATCTTCTTTGTAGGTGGTAACAGCTACCGGAACACTTGCTTTGGGARTCAACATGCCTTGTAAATCTGTGGTTTTTGCACAAAACTCAGTCTATCTGGATGCCTTAAATTACAGACAGGTACTTTATGCATAAACTTCTCAATATATTGCTAAAATATGGCCATAGAATAGAAAAACTAATCCAAACCACACCATGGATCATTAGTTTACAAACATGTTGTAGTTCATTCTTGCCTGGCTACCATTTTTAGCTGTTGTATAGTGGACAGCATGTGAGTTTGGGATTACGTGACCACTGCTGATCAGGCGTATGACATTGGATAGGACGTATAACCTGCTTGATATTCTTTTCYTTTGTTCAGAGTATGGGTGATGATTGCTGTCTTATACATTTTCAAGCAATAAATGAAATGACTTGCAAGAAAGATCCCCATCAAAGATGCTTGATAAATATTCACTGTTCATTTACTGTGCACAAGAGTTTGAACCCTGGAGTTATCTTTAATGCTTTTATATTCCTTGCTCCTGGCACATGGCCTATTAACAAAGCCTACTCCATTACTTTCCTTTGTGATATTGGATTTTTGCCTTGCAGTCTCTGAATCCACCATCTTYCCTCATACGATCTTGGCCTTATATTATTAGATCAATTTCCTTGATTCTCTATTGCCTTATTCTACTGAAGACGGCATAGTTTATCTTCATATTGTTTCCCTGTTTAGGGACACTTGGTTAAGATTTCTTACTGGCTACATCAAACTTAGATGTCACCCAAAATTCAAGTTTTTATCAAAGCACCTCCTTTTTTTCGACTCTTAGTACTTCCGTTTTTTTTTCTTTTTAGAGATTTCTTTTTTTTGTTTTTTAAACGGGCCTTTATTTTTTTTTT